GGGGGTTAACCATGCTGAAGCCAACAAGGTTATGCAGGATTTCAATGGTCCCTAGGTGGTTTAGGTTAATTTGGTGTTAAAATAGGTGTCAGGTTCTTTATCTTTGACTGAGTTTATCCACAAATGTCTTTTATATGCCAACAGGAGTTCAGGAATCTATGGTACACATTCTGTAATTTCTAAATATACATTTCAATCTCAATCAGACAAAAGTAGATTTCAAACATCTTACATTTACTAGTTTACACTAGGAATACGATCACTATCCTCACGTACAACAATGAAGTGACATAAAACCGAAATACTAAAAAAAACTGAGGTGGGCTCCAAGTATCCACGGCAACCATTCACGAAATCACAGCTCATTCTTGGCACTAAACACTCGTGGGGAAAACCATTGTCAAAATCTGACCAATAAAAAAGCACCAAGTTCTCATACAGCAATAACAGTAAATTTTTGCAACATAAAGACGGTTAAAAGGCTCATTGCCTCCACGAACAAGCATTTCATATCCACTGCTTGCTAAATTGTCTCTGATTGAATGATGTGTGATGCTCAATATTCAACTGTTTCAATTTCAAAGCAATGATTTAAACACAGCCAATCACCACACATTCAAGAAACAACCTTTCTGTGAAGGTCATCCAGAAATTCATCAGTAAAAGACATAATTTCATCCTCTGCATTTCCAACCTGTCATTGCTATCTGTTTCATTTAACAACACTCATAGCATGTTTCCAAGCCATCTGTCCATACCAATAGATTTCTTACTGTCAATCCTCAGCCACAGCATCTACCTAACTTCTGGCATGATGACCTTCCAACTTCAAGTTGGCTCGAGACGAACACAAAAGCAGCTGCAATACACCAACCACATACCATCTTAAGGCAAGTTAGTCTGGCCATCAAAGTACAGGAAAATGTAGCAACATCACAGCACAAAAATGACGCAACCAATGAAAGTGTGAAGTCGCTGTCTGCCTTATGTGTCAGGTTACCAGTCTAGCCCCCTGGTACCTATTTTCAGCATCTTCCCATGGAATGATGGCTAATAACACACACATTGTACCACTGGCCATTTCTCATATGCATATAAACTCCAGCAACTCAGATGTTTTCTCCTCACATTGCATCCTTGGTAATGACCCTTGACCCCAGCAATGTCAAGTACATTGCAAGATGAGAGACTTTTACATCCGTGACAAAAAGGTGTGGTGAAATTTTTCAGTTGTTGGGCAAATTAGGATTGGTGTAATTGTGGGTATCTCGCCACGACTACCGCACAAGCATGTGTGAGATAACGTGTATCCTTCAAAATGAGACTAATGATAGTGAATGAGTTGTGGATGTATCAGATCTTCCTGGTACTCACTGATGGCTGGTTCCTAGACTTACGCAAACTGTAATTTCAATCACTTGAGGAACCAGCATATCAATAGACATCTGTATTGGCAAAGTGATGGCATTTTGCAAACGTTGGCACATGTCAATTTTTCTACCGACCAAAAAAAATGAGCATTCTGGGTATCTGCGATAAGAACTCAATAAACGATTGTCCCACAACTGAATGGTTTGGTTCATTCTGGGAACATACTCTTCTCAAGTCTCCTAGCAATGGCTGGTCGTTTCAGCTCAGTCCTAGTATAGTCTATTAATGCACGTTCCCGAACACCAACTGCAGAAAACTGGAGGAGAAAACGAGAAAAAAAAGAAGATATCATTTCAAACAATGCTTCAGCTTGCAAGCAGTTGTGACTTAATCCTCCAAGTCTGTAATCCTTAATAACCGTTAGATCCAGACAGCACATACTTTTAACCCTTCGAGCTAATCCTCTGTGATGTGAGCTTTGTCTTTTCAAACAATTTTGTGACTGTTGGGCCCTCTGTGATGTTCAACTGCATTCCACATACATGTACATCTACACAAGCAGCTGGTTGGAAGATAAAACCAGGCAGAACTCTAAGCCACACCAATCCCAATGATAAAATGATACTTACAACACATAAAATGTAAGGTCCACAGAATTTAAATCACCTACTTAAACCTCATTCAAAATGACGGGTCACATTTGATAAACACCTTAAAAATCCTTTAGATTAGCAGACTCAAAGGGTTTCATCACACTTTGTATAAAACCAAATTCCGATTTGGATTTAGGATGGCTAAGTGAAAGAGGAAGCAAATCACTTTCATGAATCAACTAGTTTCAAATTATTCAGCAAATTTTACAAGTCTGACCTTTCCTGATCTGTCCACTGTGAGCACTCGCTTGCCTTCACAGTCTGGTGCCCCCGTGAAGAGAGTCAGGGGCGACACGCTAGCACTAGAGAGGTGGGTACCCGTTTCAATATCACACACTTTGATTTGGCCGTGCTTCGTCAGAACATAGACCAGGCCATAATTTGAACAAATCTGCAATTAGGGAAGCAAAGCAAAACAAGGAGTGAATGGTACAAATGTTCCTACTGGGAAGCATACAGGGAGACAGACAGACTTAATCAGACAGTGAGAGAACACTGACAGACAAAGCAACAGAAGACTCACAAACACAAAAAGTCCATCTCAATTTGTGTCAAGTCTTACCTGAATAGAAACAGGGAAGTCGTGGCTGTCCCCTTCATCAAAAAATAGTTGTTCTGTACAGCTGATGAGGGCGGTATTACCGGGCTTATGAGGTCCGAGCTCAATTACATGCAGCTATATCAGAATACAGAATAAAAGTGTTACTTCACAGAAATAACTAAGAATGCTTAATTCTCAAAAGAAATGAAACATGTAGGACTCATGTTTACTTTCCATTCTGTACTTGGATGTCTCTACCATTTGACAACTATGAAGCATTAACATTTTATAGGAAGGGTTTTTCTGAGCGTTGAATATTTCCTTTATAGAATTTTTTTGCTGAGACAGAACTTGATTTGAGAAACCATCTCCGCATCAAATTGCTTCACAGCTTTTGTGATGCTATCCTGTGTTTATCCTGTTGCATTCTGGGAACCACATGGGGGCAAATTGCCCGGTCCACCACTTTCATTCAAGCTAAAGTGGCTCAGCATTTGAAAACTGCGATCCTGATTTTTCGGCACATTAAACCAGCACATCTAACAAGTGTGTTAGAATACACGTAGTGATTTTGACAGAGCAATACAATCCGGTTTGGTTCTTAGAAGACAGAGCAGTAAGTTCCCTCAAGCTACTAGCAATCAAACCAATACCTTTCCTTGCTGACCCGGTGACCTGTTGGCAAGGCAGAGAAAGCTGGATGGCAAGATATTCTCGCTTCGTCGGTACATCCCAAACGAGACGGCCTGAGCATCAATGGGCTGGCTGTACTTATTGTCTACTGAGTAGATTTGGGTGAGACCTGATACGTAGCTCAAATTGTCCGACTAGGATAAAAGAAATTGAGAGTGAAATGATTCTTTTCGAACTGGCAGTGTATCTAGTCTGGCAGCGATCACATGACCATCACTTCATACTAAAATCAACACAGAATGATAAAGGTACCAGACGAATCATTATGGCTGGGAACTCACTTCATTATCAAATTCCCTGAAGAGTCCGACGAGCGCCAGCCAGCGTTGCGTGGGGTCCGCTTTGTAACCGATTATTTGACAGAAGCTGAGTCGACCGTGTCGAATAAAGATCTTCTGAGGACCCAAATCAGCTGAAATGAAACAAACACACAAAACTTAGCAAGATTAACAGCCATGTCTGAAACGGGCATTGCTGCCCATGGCTACGGCTATGCTTCATAATGAGCTAATGGCAAAAACTGAGCCAAAGCCACAAAATGGCTGACAATATGAAAAACTAATCAAAACAAGATATAGCAACCAATCAAATCTCAGCAGGTGTTAGGCAAATACTGATCCTCAAATGGATGCATGACATCAGGTTTCCAGTCTACTTCTAACTCTGCTCAAGTGGTAGTCTATCATCACATAGGCGTATTGAGGCATAGACACTGTGGTTTTTACATCAAACAGTCCCAATTAACGATAACAAACTGACCAGGTGGAGAGAGGTCCCAATGGTATACAGCCTTGGATCCCACCATACTGATGATGTCATCGCTGATCCACGTCCAATATTGCACGTCGTCTTTGGTGGTACAGCGATGAAGCTGCTTCTCGGCCACAATGTTGAATACTTGGAAGTGCCGTCCCACTAAAGAACAGATCAAATAAACAGACCGCTATCATGGGATCTTACACAAATAAGCAGGCTGAGTTTGTTTGAGTTGAACCGCTGCTGGAAAAATTCCAAGTGAATGTCAGATGTTCATGTTTAGAATGGGCAATGATGTGTATCGGCGCAAGCCCACGACCAATGATGTGTGTAGTTGCAGTCATATGTACCCATCCGAAGAACTGCATATCACATACGGCTCATGAGATACGTGTATATGTAGGTAATGTTTATTTACTTTTCTCATTTAAAAGAATCCATTCAGGCCAAACAGGACAAGACACAAGCCTCACGTGTAGAATATTTTATTGACCTGGACTAAAATCAAACTAAACAGTCCGCTAAATTTGCAATTCTTTGTTATGCAGTATATTGATGGATTCATGACTGCATAATTCCAAGGCAAATTTACATGAAAGTAACATCAAATACTATTTTACAAAGAACTATTCATATCTTGATGGCTCACCTTTGAGGGCCAGCCAGGGTTTTCTAGGGTTCATCATAGCCGAGTCGGCCACACAAGGCCACGTCAGTGAGCGGGGTGTCTTGCGAGTCAAGTTGATTGCCGTGATGCAATCCACCTTCTTGCGTTTGCGGCTGATGTGACGACAGCAGATCCAGCGATGGGATGACATGGTGACTCGAGGGAAAGTCACATGTTCCTGCTTTACGCCGTAATGGGAAAGCTGTGCCCCCAAAATGTCAACAAACAAAACATCAAATCATACAGATCTGATTTTTACCATCTGTAATAATAACTCAAGAAATTCTTATGACGGCACTGATGTTATGAAATTCAGTAAATGTTACAATGTATCTGGCAACCCTGAAACTTTGCACGTGAAGGTTGCAGGAAATTTCCTTGGTCAAGGAGAACTCTATTAGACAGATCCAATTATGGAAGGGATCACTTCAAGAGAGCAGAAAGGCCAAGGAGACTAGGGGCATCTGTTTCTGCGGTCTCTGTATGAGCTCTGGGGGATGTAAACACCACCCAGCCACTGGGAGCTGAACGTGTGTTTGACGCATCAGAAATGTACAGAGTCTCACCCCTTACAGGACATGATGTACATGTACATGTACACACTGCAACAAGGAGAAGAAACCCGTACAAAAATGTACTCTTCAGTTCATTCCCATTTTGGGAAGATTTAAGGAAAAGGGGAAAGCTGAACTTGTACATGTCACACTGCAGAATATGCACATAATCTTTAGGGCTGGTCTGACTATCCCATTTATTATTGAACATGTGAAATTGTATTCCAAATTTGAATATTCCAATGCACAAATTCATGAAAAGGGAGAATTTTATTTTTGTTATAATTACAAATATTGCACTATGAAAGCTTGTTTCAAGCAGATTCAAATGAAAAACAACAGAAAACTTAGAATGATTCACAAAGTAAATCATTTGCATTGTAGCAACTGATTTTGTATATGATTTGTTTATCAACAACCTGAAGGTCAGTATGACCCAATATTCGGATATCTGATTGTGAACTGAAATTCAAATATTCGAATAACAGTGATTTATACAAATTGACTAAGCCCTAATAATCTTACTCTAATCCTGATCATGATGATGTACCACATCCATGTAGAATATTGTACATATTGCACAGGTTACGTGGCTCTCACGGGGAGGTGGGTGGGGCACAAGACCTTCTTATCTCACATGTGCAACATGTGATAATGGGCGCACCCTTGTAATTAATAATTAATAAAAGTTATACACTCAAAATATTCTATATTAGAGGGTCCTGAGAGCCATGGAACTGAGGAATTGAAGAAATATGAGACTGGACCTGTGGGCCGGACTCAGGGCTTCCAATTCTGAGCAATTTGGATGCAATCGGGTTTGAAAGCAGCACTATTTGGGCCATTTTGCCGAGGGAGGGTTTTTCAAAAAGGCTACNATTTATCACTGCTGTCTATGGGAATTTATTTGTAGTGGTGCACCCGTAACTGTTGAGGTATGTGAACTTTGCTTGAAAAGAAACCTTCGTGATCAACCATTCTGCAGAAGCTACCGGTACTGTAAATGTTAACATGTCCCTTGTAGGCTTGTAAACACAAATTAACAACTGCCAGACAAAAGACAAAGATGCTGGACTCTGGTCAGGTTTATGGCCCACTAATATGCACTCTAAAAAACAGTTTATGAAGCAAATCTGACTGGGAAGGCATTTAGGGCTGTCCATGTGCATTATGCACGCACAGTCAACAAGGACTCCTGTTTATGTCAATTCACATAATGAGAAACATTGGTCTGAATCCGCAATCAAACCAATACCTTGAAAAAGCCCTGTTTACATGGAAACAGCAGGTGTTTGCCAAAACCTTCTACTCTTTTAATATCTGTTTTACAGATGTCTGCACTTTTTTAAGTCACATTTACAATTCTACATCTGCAACAATGACAAACACCCCGGCCCCCAAAATAACCTTTGCCATTTGGCCCCCAAAATAACCTTTGCCATTTGGCCCCCAAAATAACCTTTGCCATTTATATCCATGAAGGGTGACTGCCAAGTCTATTACTCAAGATTACAAGGATAATTACCTTTCCAGCTTCTACACTGTAACAATCCAACACTACTAGTACAACCATGGAAACTCAATCTTTAAAATAAATCTTTTTAGTCTGTTGGATTTTCAGTCAAAACAAATGTTTATTCTATGACATCAGTGGATGTGGATTATGAGTACAAGATACCGAAAGAGAGCAATGTGTGGTCAGAAAAAAAAAGGCCACAGCATGGACAAGAGACAATTATTAATTTGCAATACGGTACAAAGGCTTTTCTCACTTTAAAAAATGAAAATATCAGACATTCAAAGACTTTCAGTATGAGTCTTCCTAACAAACACGATGAAGCAATTAGGTGTTTGTTAATCAGTTTGAAAAAAGATTCTTATCCCTTTTGAAAAACATCCTGTCACTTTTTCTCCTCTGCCGAAACTGAGCACAGGGAAGTAAGTCCTCACAAAAAGTCAAGTGTCTAAACAATTGGAAAAAAATATGACCCCACTTTCCTTACTTCTCTGTTTCCCAAGGGTTAGAATGTGTTAAAAATGACAACATGAAATCAAAACACTTGAGTGAAACCAAAATATTTCTTCAACTGATTACAGGATTACAAGTGGCTTTTGGCAAGCAACTTGATTCCTTGTGCTCTAATGTCTTTCCTTCAGAGCTCTGACCAATTATTTTTTTTTTGCAGAAGGCAACGTTTGTTCGAAGTATGGACTTGAATCTATTATCAAACATACATGTACCTGCACTGTACATAACAAAAATATCTGTATTTAAAGTCTAGTTTTCATCGAGTTCTGTGCACTATACGAGAAAAGATGTCCTACATGCACATTTTATGTTTATTTTGATAGTACAATGCACATTGTACCGGGTATATCCATGGAACCTCTTCAAAAACAAGATGTGGAAAACTCTAATCGCAAATAAAACAAACCAGGCACTGTGACTATATAAAGGGAAGCATAAACAGAGTACAAAACTGTGGTTCGGCAATTTAAATCAGAGTTGATCAGTACTGAGAGGGGACAAACTACATCATCATCAAACTTGATCCTAATCAGGATCCTTGGGGATTCAAGATGAGGCTGCTGTCAGTCAGCGGTTAGACATCCCACTGGGACCAACACTTGTACTTGGATGGCATTTCACACATTGCTGTTAAACAACGCCCTGCTGAGCATTGCCATGCAGATCCATAGGCAGAAATGCACTACAGCCTGAGCCATTAGATGGAGTTATTTATGGTCGGTCCCAACTCCCAATTCAACTAGACTTCCCCCTGCCTGCACTAAATCACTCCAGCCCCGACCAGGGTACAATTTTGTCAACTGCAAATGCAATATCCTCTGCATTATATCAACAGGGGAAACATGATTTAAAACCGCATTCCTTTGATGCTTCAAGGGAAAGTCATTTGCGTTGATGTGGGTGGTTAAATTCAGTCAGCCTGGCATGTTGGGAGATTTTTTTGCTTTGGCAAGGCTTCTGTGCACTTCTAATATCTGCAAATAATTTTTCTGGCTTTCAATTTTGTGGGGCGAAATTCTGCATACTATTAAAAGGAGTTGTTCATAATACAGCCATTAATCCAACAAACTCAACCCATCACATCGTTCGGAAAGGGTCATTTGCTCCCAAAGCCAAGAGACCATCAAAATTTAGAGTGGTTTTCACCTTTTTTTTGAAGATTTACACACAGCATTATGAAGCCCAGTCAGTATACATGTACATA